AAAGGGACCATTTGAACATTAATTACGTTTAGGGTTTAGGATTGAGGGTTTAGGGTTTAGGGCTTAGGGCTTATCGGGCTTAGGGCTTAGGGCTTAGGGTTTAGGGTTTAGGGTTTAGGGTTTAGGGTTTAGGGTTTAGGGTTTGGGGTTTAGGGTTTAGGGTTTAGGGTGTTAGATCCCGCCCCTCTACCTTATAACCCCGTCGAGGGCTTGGGGTGCTGAATACTTTCAAAGCTGCTCAAGCTGCCCAAGATAATGGGATATAGGGAGGGACCCCTAGAAGGGACCCTCAATCTCATTCCCCCTCTATACACTAGACCCGGGAGTAGCCTAGGATTAAAAAGCGTACCCTCTTTGGCTTTAAGGGGATTATAAGGGAACCCCAACCCTAAACCCTAAACCCTAAACCCTAAACCCTAAACCCTAAACCCTAAACCCTAAAAAAAGGAAAAAGGGGCCTACTCCCGGTCCTAGTACATTGTTTGGCACCTTTGTTCCTAAGTAGCCCCTAACTAACCCTTATGAGGGTCCCTCCTGTAGTCCCTTGATCCAGCAGCCCTATAGACCCAGGCAGAGATTCCGACCTACGCCGGGAAGTAGGTGGCTAGGACCTGGGACGTGACGGGCGTGTGGGTTTGGGGTTTCGGGTTTAGGGGGGGTTCGGGGGTTTAGGGCTTTAGGGGGTTTGGGGGGTTTTAGGGGGTCTAGGGGGTTTAGGGTTTAGGGGTTTCGGATTTAGGGTTTGGTGATTCAGGGCGAGACGGTTTCAGGATTCAGGGTTTCTTGGACTTGCAAGGCCACTTAGCTTGCGGTACGCTGAGGCCGAGGAAGCCTGCGGTTGCTTGTCCTTATAGGGTTTAGGGGCTGGGGTTTAAACACGAACTTTAGGGGCTTAGGGCACCCAAACCCTACACCTCTGCAAACTCGAAGCCCTAAACCCTGGATTTAGGGGTTTAGGGTAACCCTAAACCCTAAACCCTAAACCCTATACCCTAAACCCTAAACCCTAAACCCTAAACCCTAACCCCAAGTCCCCATATCATCCCTGAAGTCCCCGCAACTTTGCCCGCCTGGCTTTTTCTCGGATAACGATATGAGCCGCATCTAAGATGACGCTCTTGTGAAGTTCAAAAGCGCACCCGGAGCTTCCTAGACCCGGGAGTCACCTAGGAACAACAAGGGTGCCCTTTTTTTGGGTTTAAGGGGATTATAAGGGAAGCCCAGCCCTAAAAAAAGGAAAAAAGGGCCCGGTCCTAGCTTCATTTTTCAAAGACCACCAGACCCACAACGGTTTGGGCTTTAGGGTTTGGGGCTTCGGTCTTGGGCGGAGGGTTTAAAAGCTTCCTGAAGGTTTTCTAGGTGAAGCGGGAGGGCCTTCGTACCCGACAAGCTAGGCAGCACTTAGGTTTACAAGGCTTCTTTAGGTTTCAGTGCTTTGGGCATAGGGTTTTGGGGATTTAGGGCTATAGGGTTCTTGGTCGAGGAACTTGTATAGACCCTATAAACCCTCAACCCTCAACCCTAGACCCTAAACCCTAAACCCAAATCGTCCCCCCAAAAAGGCAGGGCTCCTGGCCTGAGTTGCGTCTTCTCTGGCGGCTTGGACCTGCGAAGAACCGAAGAAGCCCCTCTCGAACGCTCACGTTGGTTGCAGGCGGAGGGTTTAGGGTTTAGGGTTTAGGGTTTAGGGCTTAGGGTTTAGGGTTTAGGGTTTAGGCTTTAGGGTTTAGGGTTTCAGGGTTCAGGGTTCAGGGTTTAGGGTAAGGGTTTAGGGTTTAGGGTTACAGGGTTTAGGGTTTAGGGTTCAGGGTTACAGGGTTTAGGGTTACAGGGTTTAGGGTTCAGGGTTACAGGGTTTAGGGTTCAGGGTTACAGGGTTTAGGGTTTAGGGTTACAGGGTTTAGGGTTTAGGGGGTAGGGTTTAGGGTTAGGATTGGGGTTTTAGGGTTCAGGGTTTAAGGGCTTAAGTTTTAGGGTGTTCAGGGTTTAGGGTTTAAGGGCTTTAAGTGACAGGGTGTTTAGGGTCTAGGTTTCAGGGTTTGAGGGGCTGAAGTGTTTAGGGTGTTCAGGGTTCAGGGTTTCAGGGCTCAACGGGTTAGCACCTACACCCTACACCCTGAACCCTGAACCCTAAACCCTAAACCCTGAACCCTAAACCTTAAACCCCCAAAATGACCCCCGTACTGTAGAGACAGGAGGGCTCTGAGCGCAGGAATACCCAAAAAGGTGCCCCCTTTTTTGGGTCTCAAGGGGGTTTTTATAAGGGTTTAGGGTTTAGGGTTTGGGGTTTAGGGTGCAAGGGAACCGAAGCACCTCAGAAGAGGAAATGGGGGGGCCCTCGGCACTTCCCCAAAAAGGGAATCAGGGCCTACTCTGGGTGCTAGACGTTGAGAGGTTGAAAGCGAAGTTACGGGGGGTTTAGGGTTGAGCTCTACTCTTGGGGTTTAGGGCTTGCAAGGCATTTATTTGGGGGGGGGGGGGGGGGGTTCAATATGTACGGCTTTAGGGCTGTCAGTGCAATTTGGGGGCTTTAGGGCTTCCGGGGCGTTTGGGGCTTAGGGGTAGGGGTTTGGGGCTTAGGGTTTCCGGGGCCTGGGCGTTCCAGGTGTGGAGTTGTAGAACCGTATGAATGCCAGGGAAAGTCCAACCCAACCACACCACAACCAATCCCACCTGAACCCCCTCAAAACCCCAAACCCTAAACCCTAAACCCTAAATCCAAAACGTTCCCTAACCCTAAAACCCCGAAGCCCGATACCCACTTCATAGTAAAAGCTTGGACCGTAAAGCTATGATATAGGAACCCCTTTAACGCTCAAGTATGCGCCGTATAGGTACATGGGTCCTGAGGGAAGCCCCTAAACCCTCAACCCTCAACCCTCAACCCTCAACCCTCAACCCTCAACCCTCAACCCTCAACCCTCAACCCTCAACCCTAAAACCTAAAACCCTAAACCCTAAACCCTAAACCTAAAACCCTAAACCCTAAACCCTAAACCCTAAACCCTAAACCCTAACCCCTAAACCCTAAACCCTAAACCCTAAACCCTACGTAAACCCTAAACCCTAAACCCTAAACCCTAAACCCTAAACCCTACCCCACCCCTGGGTCTCCGGGCTGCTGCCCGAGGTCCAGACATCCGCAGCTGCCGCTTGTCGGGCGACAGCTGGGCCAGGGCTTGGGGGGTTTAGGGTTTAGGGTTCAGGGTTTAGGGCTCAGGTCTTAGGTTTTAGGGCTGAGGTTTTGGTGTTAGGGGCTAGTGTTTAGGGGCTTCGGGTGTAGGGTTGTCGGGTTAGGGTTTAGGTCTGGGGGCTCAAGTTTTTCGGGCTTAGGGGTTATAGGGCTTAAGGGTTTTGGGCTTAGGGTTTAGACCCATACCCCGCTTGTATTGCAGGTTGCATCTTTCTTAAACCCCCTTGAAAGGTTCCCTTAGGTAACCTACAGCAGCTAGGTTTGGGTTCTCAAAGGAGGGCTTGAGTGAAGGATTCAGGGGTTTAGTGGTTCGCTTAGGTTTAAGTTTAGGATGAGGTACGGGGGGGGGGGGGGGGGTTGGCGATTACGGGGTTGCTTAAGGTTCAGGGATCTCGGGTCGCGGGTTGAGATTTAAAGCGGTCTAGGGTTTGGGCGGAGGGTTTAGGGTTTAGGGTTTAGGATTTAGGGTTTAGGGTTTAGGGATTGCGGTTTCAGGATCTTCGGGGTTGTAGCACTAGGTATCGTTGTAGCCACCTTCACCCCTTTTATAGATGGACAGATGTTGCGGCGCTCGATGGTAGCATTTCTGACAGCTAGATTAAGAAAACGAGGCTTCAGGGTTTAGGGTTTTAGGGTTTAGGGTTTGGGGTTTGGGGTTTCGGGTTGAGGGTTTGGGGCTTCGGCTCCAAAAAAAAATCGCGCCCCCTTCTCGTCAGTCGGAAACCGAGAGGCTACCCTGATCAATCTCTTATCGAACCCGCAAGCCTCAACCCCAAAAGTACAAGGCCTTAGACTTCCTTTGGAACTAACTGGGGGTCATATACCCTATGCTATTATACTCCCTCTTTAAGGTATATGAACTCGAAAAAAGTTAAGGTATATGAACCATAAACCCTTTTGAGGTTCCTCTGGTCCCCAAGGTTTAGGGTTTAGGGTTTAGGGTTTAGGGTTTGGGGTTTAGGGTTTAGGGTTTAGGGTTTAGGTTAGCCACCGAGCACCCTGGACCCAACAGGGTTTGAGGCCTGCCCACAGCTTAGGGGTAGTTTGAGAACCGAGGGGAACAGTCCACGAAAGCCGAAGAACTTGAATAAGGCTGCCCTAAACCCTAAACCCTAAACCCTAAACCCTAAACCCAAAACCCAAAACCCAAAACCCAAAACCCTAAACCCTAAACCCTACACCACAGACAACAGTGCACGCGTCAGTACTGTAGTGATGTCTGAAGTTCTGGACCTCATCACAAAATACAATAATCTTTTGTGTTTAGGATTTAGGGTTTAAGGGTACGACGCAACCTTTCTGTACTTGCCTGTGGGACAATCGTTACTGTGATTTCAGGAAGAGAGCCCTAAAACCCTCAACCCCCTTAGTTAAACCCCCAAACCCCTCAACACTAAACCTATACTGAACTTGGAACCCTAGCGAAAAACTATGGCTTCAGCTGTTTCTTAGGAGTTATAGAACCCAAAACACAAAGAAACCTATTCCAAAGTGTCCCTAAGAAACCCTGTTGCTCCCAGTGCTTTCAAGCGGGCACCAATTCCGACTCAAGGATCCTCACGACTTCGAAATGGTCGCACTGGGCAGCTCGCTGTAGGGGCGTCCGGGTGTCTCTCGGAGCGTCGCCCCGGATGCTCTGTTCGCCCCGGCTGATATCCTTGGCAGCCCAGTAACCATATTACAATGAGGGCACCCTTCTTTGGGGGGGGGTCCCTAAACCCTAAACCCTAAACCCTAAACCCTAAACCCTAAACCCTAAACCCTATACCCTAAATGGCTAGTTTATAAGGACAAGGGTACCACTGGGCTACCAGGTATCCGCTCTTGCTTCCACCAGCAAGCGGACGACCTCCGCGTAGCCAGACTCGGCCGCATAGAAGAGGGGAGTTGCAGAGAACTCAGAATCCAGATCCGAGACGTAGGAGGTCTGAGAGATGTATGGAGTGTTGGCGTCCCCCGCTGCTTCCAGCAACAGGCGCACGATCTCCACGTAGCCACGCGCAGACGCCGTGATGAGAGGCGTTGAGAAATTCACGAAGTCTGGGAAAAGAATCTGCTCCTCGCGGGCGTTGGCATCCGCCCTTGCATCCAGTAGCAGACCTACAACTCTTGTGTGCCCGTGTGTGGCTGCTTCAAAAAGGGAAGATGCACGAACAAAGTCATTCGTGCCCTCATCGTTGGCGTTCGCTTGCGCCTCCAACAGCAAGCTTGTAACTTCCGCATGGCCTCTCCTAGATGCCTGGTAAAGAGGTGTGTCAAACCTTCCCATACTGTAGCCGTCATCACACGACTCGCCTTTGTTCACGAGAGCCCTTGCTTGCAGCAAAAGACGCACAACTTCGAGTCTCCCCTGTTTAGAAGCCAGGTACAGAGGTGCGGTACTGATCGCCACGCCGTCACTGAAATAGTTGTAGCCCGCCGTGTCCACGTCAGCCCGCGCGTCTAACAACACAGTCACGACTTCGACACTACCTTGCTCAGCTGTCTGACAAAGTGCTGCAGACACCTCCACCTCATGGCCATGCACTGACCTAGGACGGCCCTGAAGGCCCTCAGAAAATTTTTGCTAAGTATTGTCGGTGGAGTTCAGGGTTTAGGGTTTAGGGTGTCCTCTTAAACCCAATAAGGCAAAATGGATCATTTCCTAAGGGCCTACCAGAGGACAGCAGAAGCAGCTTCACATCGCCCAGCGAGTCAAGCTTCACCCTGTCATCCAACACCGCACCATCGTGCAGGAGGCGCTGCAAGCATGCTGGCAGCCCATACTCTTCTTCCAGCTGCTGCTTCAAGCTCTCCACATCCTCGCCTAGGATGGTCCATACAACCCTGTTGAAAACATTCCTTAATCCTCTTCAACCCAATATGGTGAACATATGAACTGTCCCCTAAGGGCCAGAACCTTAAACCCTAAACCCGAAACCTTGAACCCTGGCTTTAAGGTTCCCAGTCACATGTGTCCACCGAAATCGTGGCCAGATCAGCTCCAGAAGTAGCCCACGACACGCGGAGCATTGCATCAAGAGAGCATTCATTCTGCAAAGTATAGTACAGTATAGTATAGTATAGTATAGTTTTGTTTTGTATAGTATGGCAGAGTATAGTAAAGTATAGCATAGTAACGTATAGTAAGTGTGGTCTAGTACAGTATAGTATAGTGTAGTATAGTCTAAGAAAATAATGTTTAGAATAGGACAGCATAGTCTAGTATAGCAAAGCATAGTATGGTATGGTTTAGCATAGTAAAGTACAGAAAAGCATAGTATAGTATGGTGAAGTATTGTAGGGACCATGTAACTACCCTTAGATACTTTGCTACTAGGCTGCCCAGTAACCAAGGCTTAAAAAGGGGTGCCCTTTTTTGCTTAAAGGGGTTTATAAGGGAATCTAAACCCCCCAAAAAGGGAATAAGGGTACTACTGGGCATCCTAGGATAGTTTGCTAAGTATACTACCCTAGTTGCACACGGCAGTTCCGGCTACTTGGCCTCAGGCTTTAACGTTAGGGCCAAGGGTTGTCGAAGGGCTTCCGGCCATCCCTAAACCCTAAACCCTAAACCCTAAACCCTAAACCCTAAACCCTAAACCCTAAACCCTAAACCCTAAACCCTATACACACAACACCCCAAGCCCTTGGAGGTCCATGGGTACTTACAACCCCAATGAAGAGTCTAGTTCTGACCTACTTGGAGGACTTAGGGGGCTTTTAAGTGCAGTGATACTTGGGGAAACAAGTACCCTGCACCTCCAAGTAGACCCTAAACCTAAACCTAAACCCTAAACCTCTAACCCCTAACCCCTAAAACAGTAAACCCTAAACCCATCCCCAAACCCCTAAAACCCTAAACCCAAAAACCCCAAACCCTATGGCGAGACCAAGGACGGCCTTGAATTCCACTTGGTAGTCCTCGCCGAAGCTGGACAGGTCCGCTTGCAGAGCGTTCCTCACATGAAGTCACTAACGGGTTTTGGGTTTAGGGTTTATGGTTTAGGGCTTGGGGCTTAGGGTGCTGCCTACACCCGACAGGCATTTGGGTGTTAGGGTGTTAGGGTGTGGCTGTACTTGAGGCTACAAAGCTCCGCTCAAGCCAAGGATACTAAGGATACCCATTTTAGGCACATGGACCCTTAGGGATGTACCCACAGGCTACCCTGAACCCCTTCTGCGTACCCTAAGCGAAGAGGCCGCCTTAGACCAGTGACCCAAAAAAGCCAGGAAGATACATTCTATCGACTGGAGAGCCCGAGACATTGCACTGCGCAGCTGCGAGATGGCGCCATCACTCTAAACTCCCTCAACCCTAAATGCTGAACCCTAAACCCTAAACCCTAAACCCAGAACCCTAAACCTTAAACCCTACACACTAAACCCTAAACCCTAACACGATCAACCCTTAAGGCACTCGTCCAAGGTCGCTCCAGCTGGAGGCTAGATTCTGGTTCCCATCATGGGTACCCTCTTGCGTGGGTTTAGGGTTTACGGGTTTAGAGGTTTCGTGGATAGGGCTTTTAGGGTTTAGAGGTTTAGGGTTTAGGAGGTTTAGAGAGGCTTGGGGGGTTTAAGGTGTACGTATTTGTTCTACGACTCGGACACACAAGCCTAAACCCTAAACCCTAAACCCTAAACCCTAAACCCTAAACCCTAAACCCTAAACCCTAAACCCTAAGTCTTCACCAGCCCCTGCCGGGCTATGCCTCACACTTTGGCTCAGGCAGAAAGGTTTTGAAGGCCACGAAGGCCGACCAACACACACATGTGGGTAGTTCTCCTTTCTTGTCTCATGGGTTTAGGGTTTAGGGTTTAGGGTTTAGGGTTTAGGGTTTAGGATTTAGGGTTTAGGATTTAGGGTTTAGGATTTAGGGTTTAAGGATTAGGGAAATACGGGTGCCGTACCATATAGGGGACCCAAACAGGGACCCCAATTGCAAGAACTACACATGTGTCTTGGCACAAAACGTCCGCCAGTCTACAGTATGCCCTGTCCGCAAAACGGCTTCCGTCACTGATCGCGACATTGCAAATTTAAGGGTCCATGTTCCTGTATAGTATATACGTGGGCCCTAAACTACTATGTGGGAACCCCTTTTGAGGCCCAAATATATACTATGTAGGTAATCCTGAACCAACTCAAAGATCATCCCTTGACAGCTGCAAAGGCACCAGGCCTTCGGCCCTAACCCCCAAACCCCAAGTTCAAGCCCTAAACCCGAAACATCCCCCAAATCACATAAGGCCTAAAGCCCCGAACCCCAGAGCCCTGTATCGTTAACCTCCCCTAAAACCTGAAACCCGAAGCCCCAAACCCCTGAACCCCAAACCCTGCTCTTCCTAAGGGTCCATGTACCCACGTAGTCTATGCCTGGGCCTTGAAGGGGGTTGACATATCGTAGCTTTAGTGCCCAAGAAAATACTCTATAGGTACATGGACCCTAAACCCTAAACCCTACACCCTAACCCTAAACCCTAAACCCTCAACCCTAAACCCTACACCCATACAGGTACATGGATCCCCTCAGAGTCCATTATCAAGCCAAAGAGTCCAGTCCACTTCCTTGGCGCCCGCAGGGAGCGCACCGGAGGCGTGGCACTGAGGCTCCACAAGTATCTCCACACCATCCTGGTCGTAGGGTTTAGGGTTTAGGGTTTAGGGTTTAGGGTTTAGGGTTTAGGGTTTAGGGTTTAGGGTTTAGGGTTTAGGGTTTAGGGTTTAGGGTTTAGGGTTTAGCACTCCGGGTCGAGCATTTTTATGGTAAAGCTTTATGTACGGCTCTGATATAACGCAAAACTAAAGCGGCCAAAAACTGAAAATAAAACGGCCAAGGACTGAAAATACAGCGGCCAAGAACTGAAAGCACAGCGGCCAAGAACTGAAATTCAATTAAGGTTTAAAGATGTATGGTAGAGAGGTTTAGGGTTTAGGGTTTAGGGTTTAGGGTTTAGGGTTTAGGGTTTAGGGTTTAGGGTTTAGGGTTTAGGGTTTAGGGTATAGGGTTTAGGGTTTAGGGGCTCGGGCATCTCCACCATCCTGGTTTTGGGGGTTGTTTTGGGGCTTACACTCTTTTTAAGGGTCCATGTGCCTTATTGACTTGGGCCCCAAAGTTCTGAAATAGCAAGTACTTTAATTAAGGCCCCAAGTATGGTAGGGCTTATGATTTAGGGTAAAGGGTTTAGGGCCCAAGTACTTTAAGGCCCCAAGTCCCTATTTAGGCACATGGACCCCTAGGGTAAGGTTTAGGGTGTTGGCGTTTACGGTTGAGGGCTACGGGCTGACGAGGGGAGGGGGGGGGGGGGCTTCCTAACCTTGGAAGATGGGGCGGGGGAGGGGGGGGTAGGGCTTATGATTAAGGGTAAAGGGTTTAGGTTCAGGGTTTAGGGTTTGGGGGCATGTCGGAAAAGGGCTTTGGGTGTCGGGTTTCGGTGACTCTTAAGGGGTGGAAGGAGGGACCCCTAACCGTATTCCCCTTTTTAACCCCGATTAAAGAAAAACCCTGTATACCTAAGTAGCCTCCAAATAGCCCCCAAGGTTTCTTAAAAGGGTCCCTCCTCCCTTAACCCCGTGCGACTCGCAAAAATCATCGTCTCCCCCAGCCAAAGCAGTGACGCCAAGGCCTTTGCAACTGCAGATAATTTCTTGGGCCGGGATATACCTCATTTTCTCCGGCGCCGGCAAATCCACTGCTTCCCAAACTTCGATGTCTTGTGGAAGCATCAGCGGCGTCCTCCCAGCCACCGCCGGGCCTTTCAGGACCTGCGCGTCGTGGGCAACGCGCTGCTTTGGGCCAAGCTCGCCCCAAATGTCGGGCGGTGCGAAGAGCCCCGCGCCCCAGCCTTCAAGAGGAAGACGAGGCTTGTCTTGCTGGCGATCAAACTCGGCAAGTGGACTACGCGTTCCTGCCCAGCGCTGTGGCGCCGAGGGTCATCGTTTGAAGGACCGGGCCCTGTGGTTGGAGGTGCTATGCGATGAAGTGCTTCCAAAGCCATGTGATGTAGTCAGCACACGGACGGATGCCATATATCACATCGGCGCAACCTAATTAGATCCGGGCACTGCCTCCGCTGCTTCCCGGCATCAACGATCGCCTCCAAGTCCCGCTCCACATTCTCCAGCTGATCCTTTACTTGACGGTGCCACAGCCTGGAATTGAATCTCAGACATCACATCTTTGGCAGCAGGGAAATCCAAATCGCACAAGCGTAAGCAACGCGTCCTCCTCAACAACCCACTCCGAAGGGAGCTCTCCTAATTCCATGACCGAGCGAAAAAGGCTTCGG